GTTGTATGTACAGCAAGTAAAATGTTGTAATATGAATAAGGAACACTAGAGGTCAGTGTTTATTCAGGTCATGTCCCTGATACTGTGACACAAATGATCACGTCAAGAAAGCATTTTGGTCCTTTTCATTTATTCTGTCGCAGCCATTGTACAATGGTGTGTGTCCCGTTTGCCTCCAGATGATTAAACCTGATTACTTTAAAGCTGTTAGCGGGACACTACTGCAGCTGGTAGAGTCTAAGCTACTCCTGATGGAAACTGCATCACAATAAAAATAAAAACAAAACAAAACATTTGATTCAAAACCAAAAAGAAAATCTGACATTTAAAATTAAATAAATCAAAAAATAGTTGCTGTTAAAGCTAAATTCATTTATTTGATCAATAAATGTAAAACATATTGTTGGGTTATTTATTCAGCCAATTATAAAAGGGACTAAATCATATTAATATACTGATGTAATAACCCTAAAGCAACCATTAATAAAAGTAATTCGTAGAAGTATTATTTTTAACTGTGATTTTAATGATTGTGTTATTTATATATTGCCTCCTCCAGTACAGAGCGATCTGCAGGTGAAAATGTTGCTCTATTCCTCAGTTAATTAAGAGGCCAATTAAACTGCTAATCTATTGAAATTATGCTCATTAATTATAAATCACTGTACTGCTTACTCTATTTAAATTATGAAATAATTTTCATCATGTTTGTAAATGGAAACATTTTTCAAGCCGTTTTGAAAATGAAATATTGAATAATAATAATAATAATAATTATTATTATTCACTGGGTATTTGTGGTTACTCTAGGCATCCTTCATTTATCAGATATGCAGAGTGGTCCACTGTGGGGACTCCTTGTTACAAGGGAGCAGCAGAAAACATGCCAACACTGCCGATTTTTTCGGGAGAACCCTCCCGAAAATCTCCCGGCGCCCGAATTTCTCCCCTTTTTCCACCCGAACAAGAAAAATTGAAAAAACATATCCCAGATTGGCCCAGCCAATTCCAGTTTCCAACAATGGCTACTACTACTGCAGCTACTTAGTTTTAATATAACTCTTATTAATCTTTCTGGGTCGCAAAATAAACTTTTAACACATTTTCAGGCGAGAAAGTAGCTCTGCAAACTTCAAATATCTGAGCCGGGGAGAACAGCAAACTCCCGGCACATCGTTTCAAACCCCCGCGGTCTTTCGCTACTCACGTTAAACGTGATATATATAAGTCACTTAA